GACAACATTGCATTTGATATGAGGGAATTCAACCAATATGGCTTGATCACTGGTTATAATTATCACAGTACTATACCCCATTATTTTTAAATATATTCCAAGTACTGTATAAGTGGTATTTAATCCGAGTGGTTAATTTGCCGAATGGTCAAATTTTATCAATTTCCTTATTTTAATTTTCCTAATGACAAGAAACTTCCCATTGGATAACATTATGAAGACAATATTTCCGACATTTAATTTTCCGAGCCTGGCAAAAATTAGGCAATAGGCAAATTAAATGATTAGGCAAAATTACCACTTATACAGTATTGTACTATACATTGCATAGATTCATGAGCAGTTTGCAACATATCATAACCAGAAAAGCCCAATGGACAAAGATAGAGAATACCCGCCCCATTTGCAACTCAACTTTAAATGTCTAATTTTTAGACTTGGAGACTCATGAAGTTCCTGACACATCTGAAAAATATCAAATAATACATAGTATTGATCTAGAATAGCGACAACTTTGTTAAAGTCTATACTTTGAAATTGTTTGGTTTTTATATTTCTGGTTATTTTTTCAAAATAAATGGGGTAGGGGAGATATGTAAGCTCTAATATAATGACAGGCTTTCCAATATACATTTTTAAATACCTTAAATCAAAATAGGCAGGCAAAAGAACAGATTTGATCAAGAATCCATCAACCAATCAGCATAAAACTCAAGATATAAGGAACTATATGTTATTGCTAACAGTGGAAATGATGAAAAATGCCAAATTATGTTCTTAAATGTCTAATTTCTCTACACTAGAATACTAATAAAGGTCCGGAAACATTAATTATAGCAATCAATAACACATAAAGAATAGTTACATCTTTGTTAAAGTTTATACTGGTAGTTTGAAGTTATTTTTTATATTTTCCAGTCATCTTCCCTAATAAATGGGGTAGGGGAGAACTGAAAGCTCTAATATGAACATTGTTTGTCTACTATACATTTTCAGTACCTTAAATGGAATAAAACATGTACAAGAACAGATTTAATCCAAAATGTATCAACCAGTCAGCATAAAACTCAAGATATGAGGATCTATATGTTACTGCTGAAAGCAGCATTGATTAAAAAATGCCAAGTTTTGTCCTTAAATGTCTCATTTCTAGCCACTTGAATACCAATAAAAGTTTTGAAAAATCTTAAAAATATTAAATAACACATAATATTGATAATAGAATAGCTACAACTTTATGAAAGTCTATAATTTCAAGTTATTTCATTTTTTTTATATATTTCTTGTTTATTTTCCATAATTGATGGGGTAGGGGAGATCTGAAAGCTCTGATATGAACATTGTTTGTCTACTATACATTTTCTATACCTTAAATGGAAGAAGACATGCACAAGAACAGATTTGATTGAAAATGCAACAATCAGACAGCATAAAACTCAAGATATGAGGAACTATATATTACTGCTGAAAGCGAAAATGATAAAAAAAATGCCAAGTTTTGTCCTTAAATGTCTCATTTCTAGCCACTTGTATACCGCTATAGGTTCGGAAATATCTTAAAAACATTAAATAACACATAATATTGACATAGAATAGCTACAACTTTGTTAAAGTTTATAATTTCAAGTTATTTTATTTTTTCATATTTTTCGGTAATTTTCCATAATAAATGGGGTAGGGGAGATCTGAAAGCTCTCATATGAACAATGGTTGTCCACTATACATTTTCTATACCTTAAATGGAAGAACATATGTACAAGCACAGATTTAATCAAAAATGCAACAACCAGTCAGCATTAAACTCAAGATATAAGGAACTATATGTTAATGCTGAAAGCGAAAATGATTAAAAAAGCCAAATTTTGTCCTTAAATGTCACATTTCTAGACACAAGTATACTAATGAAGATCTTGAAACATCTGAGAAACCTTACATAACACAAAATATTGATATAGAATAGCTACAACTTTGTTTGAGTTGAACATTTTGACTTCTTGTAGTTTCGATTTTTAGCCAATTTTTTCTAAAAAATTCAAGGTATGTCTTCTTCGGACCAGTATTTAGATATGTTCGCAAGAGTTATATGCTTCGCAGGCGAAATCCTTTATGCAGGACACCCTAATAGAATAAAAAATACACAGAAATTCCATCCAGCTCATAAAGTCATTTTTTCCTTAACGGAGCCTCTTAGAAAATTTTCCACCCCGAGTACTGACTTGTAAATAACAGACCCACTTATTTTAGACCGATGTGAAAATTGAGAGATTTGAATGCACTGACTTGAATGCATTCAACGTTTTCCCGGGGTTGATTCAGTACATTTTCCATTGACACGTTTCGTCTAGTGCATTAGATAAATTATCACCCACCATGAATTCTGGCAGTAGATTTATATATAGTTTTTCAAGATTATCATACACTTTACGGAATGCATCTGTTCAAAGGACTCGCGCTTACTGTTCTACAATACTTCCATCACATAAAGACGTGGAAATTATAGAGGTGAGTTCACTTAAACGTATTAAAATTGAAGTTCAAAACTATAAAACTTTGAAAATTTTTATTTTTAATTTTTCGCATCAGCTGATCTATGAAATAAGTCAGCTCGAAATTATAGCAATGTTGTACAGTACAATGTGTACAGTAAATGGTCATTTTGAATCAGTGTGGGGTTATAATAATCCCAAGATTGAACAATCCAGTAATCTGGGAACCCCTAGACTGTATCCTTCGTCTGCTGAATAAATTCAGACCAAATATCATATTCGGTCTGTTGGATAACCCCTAAGCACTAAATCGTCAACCATGCACAAAAAAGGCAAAGCACCCCCACATTCTAGTTCATTGTCGTTAAACTCAATAATGGCGTTCTTTACTATAGCGCGTGTATAAACACAAAATAGTTATTAATTGCAAACCTACTGTTTGTTAATGCAGTGCCGCAATGACGGTTTATTTCTGATACGATTTGCAATTTTGATGTTACCAGAACTGACCGACATTTTCGTTATATTCCGAACCTGTCTCCAATATTTTTGTAATTATGCATCAATAGGGTCTAAGGGGGATATGGGATGGTGTGTATGTATTCATAAGATAAATTAACGCATCAAAGGCAAAATGATCATGGAGATTAGACTGGTGTAATGTTGTTGGACTACCCCACATTCATGGGGGTAAAACCATAGGCTAAGGGAAAGGTACTATTGAGCTCAATATAGAAGTCACTTCTATATTTAGCTATATAGTACTTTGAATCCCTCGGTCTACATGTATGTACAAAACTGTCAAACATGTGAGAAATGAATGTACCAGATCTAAAAGCATTTGCAAATTCAGTTTTAAATCAACGTAGAAATGCATGGTTACTCTGCCGTCTGCAGTACAAAATGAAAGCACATAACTTATTCAAGGTTTTTGAAGCATTATCGAAGTTAAAACCAACAAAAAAAAATGTTTTGATCAAAAGAAATAATTACCCACTTGTCAATATCTACCTAAGATAAAGCAAGAGAAAAAATTCAACTTGATCTTAGTATTCTTTGTGTGCATACGTGTCGAGGCCTAGTCTGGCTTTATCTGCTCCTTGATTATTATCATAAACTGAAAGAGAAGTTCATTTTTCGCATTAAATCTATAGTATGGCTTATGCAACTGCATTTCAAGTAAGTAGTTTGCCACATTCACTCTAATAAATGCACAACGCGTCTTCCAAAATCTCCTGTAGGAGATGTCTCAAATTACAAAATTCTGGGGGATCTTTGAAAGGAAAATAGATGAGTGATAATAAGGTGAAATTCCTCCTTAAAATTTGACTGACACTCTGACTGAATAACAGAATGATATACTTCGATGTTTTCCTTATGTACTTATTAATCGGCTGAATATGTTTTAGTAGGATCATTGATGTATATGCATTGTACATTAATATCAATATTCACTTCCTGTTCATACCTGCAGGCTGCTTTTTGGAAATTGATGGTGATACCCAAGTGAAAATCTAAAGGCTTTCTGTCATTGGTCTTCATAGTTCAGTTGGAAGAAATACTTTTTGTATTCATATAATACTACTGTATGTATGTATATATTTATTGCCCTTTATATACTACATGTTTATAAAGGAATAAACATTTGTTTGTGTTGAAAAAGGTGGAGGAATATTCTGTATTGGAACCTCCCATGATGCACTGCGAGTGTCTAATGGTTAGATAGCTGAGGTCAAAATAAGTATTCATAATAGTTTTCTTTTTATTAATCATCATATATAAACATATTAACAAACTAAACAATTGCCAAAGTCGAAAGACATTGACAGAAATTTTAAATGGAATCTGTAACTTTTACACAATGAGTTTTTTTCATGTCATGTTATCGTTAAATTTGAAAAGAAGTGTCAAAACTGTGTCATTTCACTACGCTTATATATCTTAATTATATGTAAGGTTTATTCCATTGGCCAGAGGGATTCCAGCTGTATGATATTAGAATTGATTATATGTTCAATAGATCTAAACCATGGTGGATGTTAATGCTACTATATTCATTAGTTTTTCATTAACATCTGCTAGAAATTTTTTATCTTGATAAAGTAAAAACTGGGCTTGATCAAGCATTAAGTAAGTCGATCATAGTGAGTACGGATCCCCATCATCTCCAGTCTTGCAAGTAGTGTTGTTCTCTGTTCAGTCAGTAGTGGACATCTCAACAGGAAATGTAAAGTTGTCTGGTTTAAATTGTCACATAAACATTTTGGATTTGCAACCCATTTAAAATTATGTGCATAAAGGTGAGCTTGCAAAAGAAGTCTGAACCTGAGTCGGTAAACGAAATTGCTAGGTAACGAGGCATGGCATTTTTTAGTTTTGACGTTGATAGGATAGAAGCAGGGCTTCCATTGCCTCTTACTATTCTTTTAAATTAGATGGAATATGCTAAGATTGTAAGGTTTTGAAGTGCTACACGGGCACAAAATCCTTCGCTATGAAGGAATTTAGATGAAACAATTTAACAAAATGAACAATTTAAACCTGATGTGTAATAGGTACCACTTAAACATTTGTTTGATGAAGAAACTGCTATATTTTTTCTAAAGCTTGCAACAGTTTTGATGTTTATTAAATTTTGATTTGGAACATTAAATCCGAATCCAACATTGATTGATTATTTCTCGCAGTTAAAGCATTGGTAGTCAAATTTGCCTTTCCCAGACATGACGCAGGCAGCACATTTTGTGTAGTCCTTAATTTTTCTCTGTTTGCAGCCACTGCACCTCGCCAAAAACTTTTTACCCTGCTTACATTTTTGGCAGTAGTACTCGCATGTTGGTTTACCTACAATAGAAAATACTGCTGCATGAAATGTCAAGTCTGTTCAGGCAATTAAATGAATGTTTATCTACTTTATATTGCCACCTTATTAAAGAATTTCGCAATTGCCTTAAAAATTATCATTCTCTCCCCTATTTATAATACATTCCCCTATTTATAATACATTCTCTCCCCTATTTATAATACATTCTCTCCCCTATTTATAATACATTCTCTCCCCTATTTATAATACATTCTCTCCCCTATAATACATTCTCTCCCCTATTTATAATACATTCTCTCCCCTATTTATAATACATTCTGACAGCACATGAGTAAATTGAAGTTACAATTACAATAGGTGCATAGTTTTATTATCAAGTGAAATGATTTTCACATGAAATCTACGGTAAACCAGAATTCTAAAGGTTGCACTCTACATGTATTTTATTTAATACTTTGAACTGGACCTAGAAATTAGAAGTTAAGGTGTGCTATCATTGAAAATATGTAGATAAATAAATGAAAGAATTATCCAAACAAAGTCTAGTATTAGCCATTAGAAGAGCCCCTGATCTGTTAATGCAATAGTTTGCTTAAAGGTCCCATGTATTTAAAAAATATTAATCATTAGAATCTTCTGATTTACAAAGTTGTTAAAGATATTTTTTGAAAAAAAGTTGAAATTTCGAAAAAATGCTTGCCATTTCACCAAATTATCATATCTAACTGAGTACATACAAATGTTACCTACATATAAAAGAATGTTTGCAGCAGGGAAGAATATTCCTTTAAAACAATTGGATTATCAAATTTATCGTATTCTCAGTAAAACCAGTTTCAAAATACTATACTGAGATAAAACTAAGACAAAATTGTTAAATACTACATTTGTCTTTTTTAGAATGTCAGCAATTTATCAAACATAGACTGATTCTCTTCAGAATTTTTTGAATAATGTTTATTGTTAAATGGTTCATGATGGGTCATGATCAAGAATAACTTGCATCTGGCATGTAAGCGGGAAGTAATCGACAGGTTGTTTGTTCGATTCCCACTGGGGTGGAGTGACTTTTTTACATAAGCCCTTAATATAAGATTTGATCCTATGTTTCAGAGTAACTTGTAAATAATATTACTTTGAAAGGTATTGAAGAGGTGAAGAGGTGATCATAAAAATATTCGAATAAGGAAATTGTGGTTCATTTAAATAGCCCATATTGATTCGTAAAATATGTTCTATGCTAAGAAATTAAAGTTCTATTTGAGCATGTAGAAGTGTAACGATATGAATGTTCTTACAATATCCTTCACACTGCTCCTTAGACTGAAAGTTGTTGTTGTTGCCCCTACATCCTCCATACAAGAAATTTTCACACTGCCCTGTGTGTATGCTGTAGAAGTATCTTGGAAAAGCTGCTTTGCAAGGACCAATCACTTTAGGCTTGGAGCATGCATCTGTTTAAGTAAAATTAAGTAAAAGTGATTATTTTTTAGATGACTTTGAATAAAACATGATTACTAATACATTATTCCATTTTTTTACTACAGTACCAAATAACATGTAGATAAGTATAGGTGAGAATATAATGCTTAGAAGATACAAGAGTTAATCTTGTAAGTAGGGCTGGCACGGAACGGAATTATTGTCCGAACTGTCCGATTTAGCCGAAAGTTCCGAAGCCAAGTTCCGAATTCCGTTCCGATTCCGTTCCGTGCCAGCCCTACTTGTAAGCGAGGGGTCGTGGGTTTGATCCCTATTGAGGTGGACTGACTTTTTCTAACCAGCCCTTCCCAGCCTATCATCAGGTTTTTGAGGCGTAGACCAAAAGTTAACCTTAAATGCGCCTTACTTTCAGGTCTAGACTAAAAGTATGCCTCTTTTACAGGTATTTTTAAGGCTTAGACCAAAACCTAGCCTCATTTACTCACAATAATTCCAGTTATAGACCTTATTTTCAGGCGTATAGACCAAAAGTGCGCCTTAAAAACCAATTCTAAACCACATTTACTTAGAAGATTTTAGAATAGACCTCACTGTAAGGCGTATAGACCAAAAGTGCGCCTGAAAAACTTGAACAATTTTCAAAATGACCAAATCTAGACCTGATAAACTAAGAACATTTTAGAATAAACCTCACTGACAGGCGTATAGACCAAAACTGCGCCTTAAAAACTTAAACATTTATAAAATGACCAAATCTAGACCTGATAAACATAGAATTTTTTTAAAAACTTAGAAAACTGAAAAAGCCACACTTACTGTAGTATTTTGTCAGAATCACGAAGGAGACAGATTATAATATATTAGGTTAACAGACCAGTAAACTGTATTTTCAACTCCCTATTAATGGTTTTTATCAGAACTTAAAAAAATAATCAAAATCTGGGAAACCTAAAGAAGGATGTCTGAAAATAATAAAATATTGAAATATTGTTAAATTTAAATGATGAAACAAAAATACATCATATTAGAAGCCTACATATAATTTATATAAGAATACTGTGTAATTTTTGCTTCATCTTTCTAATGTGTTCATAGATCTGTATCTTATCCATGAGACAAGTTAATCCTAGAAAACAACACAGCAATTCAAAATAAATGCAATTTATTTAACAACTATGGAGGGTACTGATATGTACTAACTACTTTTCTACTTTGAAACAACAAAACATGACCTGACCTTACTTACAGGTATATGAGGCTTGTACCTGAAATGAGGTCTAGACCAAAAGTAGACCTTAAGGCTTAATTTCCATAATTGAAATGTGCCTTAATGTAAGGTGTATACCAAAAGCAGAAGAGAAGTAGACCTGAAAACCAATAGTGAACCTCAAATAAGGCGTAGACCAAAAGTATACCTCAAATATAGACCTGATATACAGATAGTTGAGGCTTAAATGAGGTCTAGACCTCAAATATAGACCTGATAAACCTGATGAGGTCATTAAATGAGGTCTACTTCTGGTCTACTTTTGGCTTAATTTAAATATTTGAAACGCGCCTGACTATGGGGATTTAACACAGAGAAAAACCAAAAGAAGACCAGAAGTATGCCTCATGAGTAGACCAAAAGTAGACCTCAAATATTGACCAATATTGCGCCTGACGATAGGCTGGGTTAGCTTCATTCTGTGTTTTCATTAACTAGATATGTATCTGAGAGATTATCATGCTTTGGTGATACAAGAGTTGGCCTGAATTTCCCAATTTCCCCATTGAGCAATAATTGTATCATATTATGCAACATTAACTACTGTAATGATCCAAATTCATAGAGGTCTTTAATGACATCAATATAATCTCTAAATATATGAGGATTTAAAGGTAAAATATATTACCATGTCTCCCACTATCCCAAAATTATAGTTAAGAATCAGTTTATTAATCCATCTAATTCATAGTTAACTAACTAACACATGATTTTGAATACCTACCGCAAGTTTGCTTGCAAGTTACTGAATTCCCAAAGTTGTTTAGGTTGCCTCCTCCGCATCCACTGTAACTGAACATCTCACACGCCATACTGCCAGAATTATAGAAGTATCTCTCTACTTTATCCTCAGCACATTTCTTTTTGCCCTGTTTCTTAGGAAGGTTGCACATATCTACATCTGCAAGAATAAGTCATTTGGTCACTTTTGCAAAATACAAAATGTCCATTTGATATCTTTTATCACCTATTAAGCCAAAGATCTAAGAAGATATTATACAGACTTCCCTCCATCTGTCCATTGGGATGTAATCTTCAGTTTTAGGAAAAAGCATCTCTAAGTAACATTTTGAAGAGGTATACCTGTCTCAACTGCCTCAATTTTAGCTATTTTCCCCTTTTCATTTCGTTAAAAGCTCACATATTGGCGGTTGTCTTAGTACCTGTAGGCACCTGTATTTTTTGTTTCTTGCATATTTTTCACAGAATGATTTTACTTGTTGAAAATTTGTTAATTTGGATTATAGTTCATACTTGCCTATTTTACATTAACGTATACATTATAATGCAGTCTAAACTCACCACCACATCGTTTTTCACAATCTTCCTTTTTCTCAAAGTTATTTTCATTTGCGTCACACCCTCCGTAATAGAAGAGTTTGCACTCTTTAGTCTCATTATCGTAGTAGTATCTTTCAAGACGTGCCTTACATTTACCAACCTTTGATGGCAGGAGGCACAAGTCCGGCTTAGGTGGAGTAGGTTTTATTACACCTAATGGTATTAAACATAATGTCTTTGATTAATGCATATTGTTACCTCATTCCTGACCTTATTGTCGCTATTTGTTGTCCCAGCAAATAAAATTTGTATGGAACTTGATCAGCTGCCTTATTTATTCATATGACAATCTGTGTATTATGTATGATAGTCTACTAGTAGTTTTTTTAAAAGTTTGGTTGATATTTTAAAGTTACTTAATTTCCAAAGATCAGAGGATCCTGGTTGAGAGGGAATTTTCCAGGTCATATGATTCTTTGATATAGACATGCTACTACTGATATTGGAAATTGGTAAGTGATATATTCATATTATATATATTCATGTACATGTACATACCATCCATGCATCTATGTCCACAGCCATTACTGCAGCACAATTGTCCCCCTGTGCAATCATCACCACATAAATTGGCACATGCCCCAACCATACCCTCTTTCACAGGTGGGCAAATCAACTCATCTAAATAAAGAAGTTCTTCTGTCAGTGTATAAGTCATGATAATATATAAAAGATATAACATTATGTGATAATAACTAAAGAAGTAAATAAAACTGTAATTGAAAATTAAAAGCATATTGTCACCAACCTTCAGCATTTGCAACCTGGGACCAGAGTAGTAGTGAAAACACACCAAACAACAACATACCTGATAGAAATATTATGATGAATTAGAGTTGTGTTATAAGTAATGAAAACTTTATTGAACTATGAAAATATGTTAAATCACAATCTTTAATTTTGATAAACATTCCAATTCAATTTGTGTAAGATGTTACTTTTAAGACACAATTTTTAGTGATATTGCTCACATTTAATAGAATCAGATGTGTCGCTTTATTCTCTGTTATGATACATACTTGTTTATTTATCCAACTATCCAATTGTATTAGTGACAAAATGTTTTTGCAGTATGCCAATTATTCACATATAACTGCACTGCACTCCATTGAATATTGATTTGCAATATTTAAACAAAATGCTACAATACATAGACATAGAATTCATCTGTGACATTCTGTATATGGCAAATTTTATTCATTTAATATCATCTGTTTCTTTGTTCTCAAACATTAGTGTCATTCTGACTCATTAGAAATTATCAGAAGGATTAAAATCACTTCTAGCCTGTCATTGTTAACTTACCTGTCAAACAATCGATGCTTGATGTATATCTTTATCCAAATGTTTTGCGTACTATAGCTAGAATGATTTAATGAATTCCTTTTTCTGATTGATTAAGTTTCTAATGATGTATCACACAAGAATTATGGTGACAGGACAACTACAGAAACAATTTTGAAAAATGATTATCACAAGTTCAAACAAAAAATAACAATTGTTTAGTGACTTTTAATTAAGAGTAATCAGTGAAATGTAAGCTTCAGTAATTGGTAAATTATGTTTGTATTGTTTTAAAGACAGTTTAACAATATCAAACATTTTGGCATAGATTTCAAAGTGAAAAGTACAATTTAGCCTAGTTACCTTGTATTCCTACACAAATGTTTGTTATGATGCTTGTTAATTCAGTAGAACTAATACAGTTTATCTGGATATGAATTAAATGGCCTTTATAAACAAACCATTGACTGTGTCCTTGACTTAATGTTCATGGTACATTGAGTTCAGTTTATCACTCCCGTCAGTTTTCCATTTTCCCAGAACATAGACAGAAGGATTTGCAGAGTCTGATGAATTTCCACCACATTTCCTACAAAATTAACAGATTTTCTTGAACCATGATCAATAATCAGTTTTACCTTCGTAATTTAATGGTTTCAGTAGCTCTATTAGTGGTAGGAATTCACCCAAAATATATTTCAATTTGTTCTTCTGCTATTTTATTTGCTCTATGACAGTGGTTGTATGATGGAATAAATGACTTTCTAAATATTTGCCACATTTGATTTTTGATTTACCTTTTCTCATTTTCACCTAAAATTGCAAAGAAATCACATAGATTTCTCATAGAATTGACTTTTTCAGTTACAGAATTCATCATTCAAACTTGTAAAAACGGGTAAGTGTTGTTTACCTTAGAACTTGTATAAATGTCCCATAGAAACTGAAGAATAATGGAGATAAGTGGTATCAAATTATTTAATCCATAACACAAAAGATGCTGTTTTCATTGTGAACTTGTACTGCAAAATCATCATCTGGGTGTTTAAAAGAATCAGATCATGGATTGTGATCACTGTCAAAGTGTAACTTAGTTCAAAGCCGCGGATTATTTTAAAAACATTTCAAGTTAATACTACGTATATCAGGGATATAAATGATTAAAGGATGTTTGGCACAGCGCAACAAGAAAAGGTGAGACTTTTTTCAACTTTTCATTTCTTTGAGACTAATTGTTATTTCCCCCTGGCCTAACCAGTGTATCTATTTCATTGATTCAACTACCTCAGAATGTGTATTAGTTGTTCTGTCCCTTTGTTTTCTTTGATTTCTTTACTTTTAGTGTGGTGCAGAATGTGTTTGGGACATTGTAGAATTGATCTCCAGAGCCGTGTGCCTTTGCATACAGAGTTGGAGAGTTCTTGTATCAAACCAGAATCGCTGTGTTTGGTAGTTGGGGTCTCATCTAGACTCCTTGAGTTGTGTATTTTTTAATGAATAAACACAAGAAGCACACGCGTCTGGAACTCGCAACCTCGTGGTTACGGCGCTCAATCGCCTAGCTCAAACGTGCTGGCGCTCAAGCCCTCTTGGCCAACTAGACAACCCCAAAAAAGGTTGTTTTGTCAGTCGATCTGACTAGAGGCAGCTGATGTTATGCTCGAACACACCAGAGGAAGCACAACGGACATTTTCTACACACACACACACTGCTCAACTGTCCTGAAGAACCCAGAGTGGGTTAAGATGAAGATGTTTTACTATGCTCAACTATGGCGGATGTGATAAGTAGGAGCTGCTTTTGCAAATAACTATTTAACTAATTGTATAAGGCACACTGTTGAGCAAAAACCAGTGACCTGATCAATGAACAAGAATAGCTTTCATTTAGCCTCAAGAGAGCTTTGGACATTTTATCTTAATATAGTAGTTTGAATGAATATGAACATGTAATATTTTGTCATCAAGAGTTGAACATTTTATTTTAGGTAATAGTGGTTAACATTGTCATATACAGCAGCTTTCTTACTAAGAAACATAATACAGAGAATGAAGAATAAAAACTTTGCATGAATACAAAATACAGAGAATGTGATAAATAAAAACTTGCATTTCTTGCATAATAAAAATGTTTGCACTTTTGGTTGGCTCAATACATGAACTTTCACCATTGCTTAAATGAATGTTTTGGCATAATTTGTTACAGCAACCCACAATGAACAGATACTTCTGACACTGGGGGATCTGAATTGCATTGTTTGGATGTCAGGTTGTTGGTGTATACAGCATACTGTACAAGATATGGGAAGTTTATATATCAAGCCAGCTGCAGCATTGTCAAGCAAACATAACTGTGTAAAAGCAAGCTATATATATGCTGTCAAGCAAGCCTACAATGACAACAAGAAGAGCAATACTAGGACATCATGAATAGTTGCAGATATGTACAAGGCATACCATTTAGCCTAAAATGATGTGGGACAGCAGGGTCCAATATCAAAGTCACAAGGTCCATGTTGCTTATGTCCTTTAAACATAAAGATTCAGAGTCTTCAATCTTTTAGTTTTTTAGTTTAAACAAATCACTTTCAAAATGTTAAGCTTATAAGATGAGGATAGGCTTTTTAAGAAACATCATGTATAAATATAATGGTAAGGTTGATCTTTATTGAATTTTAATTTGAAACAGTAAAGTAAAGGTTAGTGCTTAATTCATGCAGTTGAAACATTGGTAGTTTAATTTGGCATATTTTCCTTTTCCACTCTTAACGCACGCTGCACATTTTGTATATCCTCTCATTTTCCTTTGTTTGCAGCCACTGCACTTTGTCAAAAGCTTTTTAGCATTCACACATCTTCGGCAGTAGTATTCACATGTAGGCTTACCTGCAATGAGAAATATACTTACTGTACAGTATATTATAAATGTGTTAGTTCTAAATTACTATAATGAAATATGGTTAAGTAAATATTCAAGAAACATGTTTGAATGACCTGTTTCCCTCTACTGTCTTATGGCATTACCATCAAATCCATAAGACCATGGGATATTGTACATGTTGAGTAAGAATTCATAGATGGATAAGTTTATGTGTTTTAATTGATTCTTTAAAGACTGACATGTTTTTACATGACATGTATATACCATTTTGCTCTTTACAGATGGTGTTTTAGATTAAGTTGAACTTGTTTGAGCATTGAACATGCACTTTTGAAATAGTATAAAAGAACTAACAATGTATTTCACACTGATCTTCCGTTTGGAAATTGTTCTTGTTGCCTCCGCATCCTCCATATGTGAACTTCTTACACTGTTCCATCTCACTGTTATAGAAGTAACGGGGAAAAGCTGCTTTACATGGACCGATCACTTTAGGTTGTGAACATGCATCTGTTAAAATTGTATGATTAAAGTCATAGAATAAAGAAAAGAATTTTTATATTGTAGTACAACTTTCCGAACAAAATTTAGGTAATACAAAGTGAATGTCCTGCAGCATAGGAGTCATATGACATTATCATAATAAAACTCTTCAGACAATACTGTGTTCATTTAGCAGCTTAAGACTGGCATGAGGCCCATTTATATTTAAAAAATGAATTGTTTGATTCAAAGTTACCCATTTGAAGCAGGAAATTGATTTGTAATAAATTGATAATACATCTGTACAAAAATTTCGAATATTTACCACATGTTTTTTCACAGATCTCTTTACTCTCAAAGTTGTTTAATCCTTCACCACAGAACTCCTCACACATCATACTGTCAGCATTATAGAAGTATCTAGTTTTCTGAATTTTTGAACACTTCCTTTTGGATTTTTCATTTGGAAGGTTGCAAATATCTGCACAATTTAAAAAAAGAAAAACATTAGATAGAAAAGACTTCCTAAGGGGACTCTACGGTTCTAAAAAATATTTCAGAAGCATATAACAAATTGCAACATAATTATTAGAAGTAAAACTATTGTTAAAATAGGCTCTATACCATAGGATAGCAACGGGGATTCCCCTCACTAGCCATGAATTGATTGTGTTTAATTCTGGAGGTTGGTTGTTCTGTTGATTATATCGATATTTCGGCAATAATATACCCAAAAGTTATTCTCAAGATTGTTAACTAATAGGTTAATATTTTCCTATCATGAACTTTAAATTTAAATTGGCAGACATCAAAATATGTTGAAACTCATGACAAAATTTTAATGTCAACAAAAGTAGAGATTAAAGAATGTGTTACTTGCAGCATTCTGCCTTAGGGCATTTAATAAGCAAGACAGGAATTACTGAATTGATTGGTAAATATATATTCTATTTTTATAAATGATATGGGCCTTAGGCCTCTTTTATTTGTTTAAATTAACTAAACTCAACAATGTCATTTTAACTACCATCTGTGTTACTTACCTATATGCACACTACCTGAACACCGTTTTTCACAATCTTCCTTGGTATCAAAGTTGTTTTCATTTGCATCACAGCCTCCATAATAGAACAGTGTACACTCATTCATTTCAGCATCAAAGTAGTACTTCTCAATCTTTGCTTTACATTTACCAACCTTTGCTGGCATGTAGCAGATCTCAGGTTTTTCTGTAGCAACCCCTAGTGTTATAAAATATGCATTATAGTCTTACATAAAACTCTTGAATACTATCTTTCCCAACATGAATACTCTTTCGTGAAATAGAGTGTTAGGCCATGAATGTCATGGGAGACTAAAAACAAGTTTAAAATATTTTAATTTGAAATATCTAGTTCAAAACGTTGTTCCTAACCTTCCACACAGGTATATGTGCATCCATTGTAGCAACACAATTGTCCTTCAGGGCACTTTGGTTGCCCATCAATCACCCCACACTTTTCTACTTTACAGGACCCTTTCCCTATGACAGGTGGGCATCCAAGTAAAGGGGTTCGTGGGATCGGCTTTTTGATTCCTAAAGTTGAAGCCATTGTTTCTCAAAATATTCTTTGAGAAATTATCAGTAGCTTAGCTTTATAGTTAAGTAGCTTTTACAATGTGAGATTTTACAATGTCACAAATGAAGAAAAAACTTAATTTCTTTAAATGGGATAGAACTCTTGTCTGAATTGAATAGATCCAAGCAATGGTATTGCACTCTTAAGTATGAAGTTATCTAATTTTCATGTACATACCATCCATGCAGCTATGTCCACAGCCATTACTGCAGCACAATTGTCCCCCTGTGCAACCATCACCACAGCTTTCAACACATGCTCCAGACTTCCCAACTGGGACTGGTGGGCAAACCAACTTACCGGTATCTAAATTAAAATTCAGATTCTATAAATGTATGCAACATTTACTCGTATAATATATAATCTGTTAATCCAAAGATATAATCTTCAGTTTTAGGAAAAAGCATCCCAAAGCTGTAACATTTTGAAGAGGTACCTGTCTTGACTTCCTCATTGCTAGGTAGCAAATCGGCAAAGAGGGCAATGTGCCTATTGACTTTGTTAAGAATAGAGATCATTTGTACTCCATTTACTACTTTACTCTAATTTTGATTCATGAATCTTGCAAAAGTTGATTTGGGTTGTAGTACACGTTTGCCTCTTTAATGTAAAAAAATATGCAGTTTTTAACTCACCACCACATCGTTTTTCACAATCTTCCTTTTTCTCAAAGTTATTTTCATTTGCATCACACCCTCCATAATAGAAGAGTGTGCACTCTTTAGTCTCATCATCGTAGTAGTATCTCTCAAGACGTGCCTTACATTTACCAACCTTTGGTGGCAGGAGGCACAAGTCTGGCTTGTCTTGGTCGGATTTCATTACACCTAATGGTATAAAACAAGATGCATTTGATTAATGCATATTGCATATTGTTACCTTATTCCTGAACTTATGGTGGCAATAATTTGTTTACTGTTATATATAATAGAAGATATAACAAATCTGTTAATAACTATAAATGTGAATAACACCGGTTATGAAAATTAGAAGCATGTTATTACTAACCTTCTGCATTTGCAACCTGGGACCAGAGTAGTAGCAAAAACACACTAAACAGCAACATACCTGATAGAAATATTATAATGAATTAGAGTTTTGTTAAAAGTGACAGAAATTTTACTGCAGATAGTGCAAGGAGTATTTAAACAAAACTTCATTGTTATGTCACCACTACAAGTGGTGACATATTGTTAAATCTCTATCTTTCTTGTGGACAGTGGTCAGTGTTTGGCATTTGGTAGATGGCTATGGCATTATTTTAGCATCTTTATTCAATGTTTTCAATTTCATGTTTGAAATTTAAATTTTCTTGTTTGAATTTTCACTTATCAATTCAAACTTTCAAATTTTTGTCCAATTTTTTCAATTCTTTGTTTGATAATCCATATTTCTTGTTTGATATTACACTTTTTAATTCAAACTTTCAAAGTTTTTATTCAATTTTAGTAATGTTGTTAAAAAATAAATCTTCAGTGTTAGATGTTAGCAGTTACACATCTATCACACTGCGAAGGGAGAATTAAACATCAAACACCAAAAATCAAGATGTCAAACACTGAAAAAAATGTTCATTATGCAAGATCAATAATAGCTTCGATGTTCAATTTTTAGGATTAAAAAAGATTAATCTAAAAATTCCAAATATACTTTGGTCAATTTTCGATCCAAAAGTTCAAACCAAAATCCAAAAGTTAAAACCAAAATTGTACAAAAGTTTGAACTAAGAAATCGACACTTACAAGCCATTTTTTCTATTGCTTTGAACTATAGAACATAAATTAAACATTCTTTTTTCTTATTCGACATATGTTTTTCTAATTTGAATTTCTCAACATTTACTTTGAATTTTTTCCTTATTTGATGTTTTTGAAATAATTGCTTTGATTTCATTTTTTTTTAATTTGAAACACATATTTTTATTTGATGTTTTAAATATATTTCGACTATTTAAAATATATCAAATGTGAAACTAACATTGAATTTTGAGCCATTTCTGACACCATAGATGGCGGGTTGTGACATTTTGCATGTGACTGCTTTGTAATAATTTTAATATAGTGAAATGTACTATAATGCAATTAGAAACCAGACAATAGTGTTATTTGTATTTGTAAATGGCAACTCTTCCAAAGTAAATATTTCGATATACTTGTGCAATTATGGGGAAATTTTCCCCATATCTGGATAATATGGGTACTCTGGATAAAATGTTATGATACCAGTATGTCATTTTTAAAGTTCATATTGTGATTTTGTAACAATCATGGAAATGATGCCTAGGTCTTATACCTTATACCTTATTATGTTTTGATGGCCCTTGATTATCTTAAGATCTCTTGGCAAAAACTCTTTTGCATATTCATTTATTCCTATTGTTCCAACATTTATGAACCCAATTTTCATTTATCTGATTTGTACATTAATGTACATTTAATTTCCACATACTTTACAAGTCTTGTTTAAATAAAGAATATTTGTTTTGTATTTTGAAAATTAAAGAAAATCTACTCACCTGACTGTTATAGTGAAAGTTGAACACAGAATGTCATACGATTAGAATAGTTCTTTAAAGTGCCAATATGCAATTTGGCAGAAATACTGTTACGCATCTACATAGTTGCACCTTGTGTTATTTCTATTTATACACTGTTTGTTATTGTAAAACCTTTTGATTCAGCGTATTGTTGTTATACCAATACTGAACCAATTGTTCACTGTTAAAATAGAGACCACACAATTCATGTCCATTGCCCAAGATTCCATTCAGATCTACAATACTGTATTGTTTTGTTCCTATGAACTGATCGTTATGGGTATCGGGGGCGTACCAAGGACTTTTCAAAGGAGGTGCATCGACGTATATCTCAAAAAAAGTTTCTCATAGGTTTTTCCTCTTTGTCTCCTTTTCCTCAGCACGGTGAACAAAATCCAGAGGGAAAAGTAAAATTGATTCAAAAGGTTTAACCTTAGCACCCCTCCCCTCAATGGGTGGTTATGCTCTTGGATGAATGTCTGAGTGTTCAATGTTTTTTAAATTTTTTTTACTTATTCAAAACTAAAATAAATATGCTCTTCTTTCAGGACATATACCAGCCAAAAGGGAGCAGAACTCATAGTCTGTTTAGTGAAGAAGTTGAGCCTTTCTCTAGTTTCCTCACAGATTCATTTGGTCGACAACATGATTATTTGCGGATATCGCTCACCGAAAGATGTAATCTAAGGTGTAAGTTTACATTTAGGTAGATTTAGTCAAAAAATTATTATATTTGTCTAATTTTTAGATATTTCTCTATCTTGAGATTAGAGTTTCATTCCTTTGACGAGTTTCATTTGTCAGTCCACCTTTGTTAAATATGATTTGTGTCCAAGATCGGGATTCATAATTTAGTTTGCATTAAAATGGCATTTATGATATTGAAAGAAGTAATTCATCACCAAAAGAATAAGATAAGCTAGTTGTGGCACATTGCTGTGCATTACTGCACACTCATTTAAACTCTTTAAAACAAAGTGATTAGAATCTTGTTTGTCTATCGTATTGTATGAGTAGTATGAGGCGTTTGAATATTTCTGAATTTAGGATCATGAGTAACTTCCCTCATGGAAAGGTATTTGTCGCTATATTAGGAAAAATATCAGGCTTTCTCTCATTTCATGACATATTCTACCTTTTAGTTCCATGATGCCAACATTTTGTACAAGTATGCATGGTGGTTGTGCTTTGCATCATTAATTGCCCACGTATTTGCCAATTATAAAAAACTTTTTTGTCAATGCCTGAAACAACATTTTTGTAATAATTGACTTCATTGTTATTTTAGTACATGAAAAAACAATTTGAGTCTATAAAATTGAATGTAAAAATATTAAATAATACATTAGATAAAAATAGATCTATTTGATAACAACAATGAAGCAACTCTATTAGTAATTTAATTGCACGATATAATAACAATGTTGTTAAAGGGTCTTGTCAGTGAAAAACAGTTTCTACAATCTGCAAATTTTGGAGCTCATTTATTGATGTGTATTTCAGTATATATCTTGGTAACGTCATCTTGATTCATAAGATTTTAGTTGTTCATACCTCTAGACCCAGTGGAAAGCGACGATGTGATAACATTGAACCTTGAAAAAAGCATTTGATAACTAATAGCTTGATAACTTGTATTCTAACATTCTTTAATTATTCATCTGACAAGTCACAAATGGTAAATAATTGATATGATCACGATTATTGGAAGTTATTTGAAATTAATATTACTGTTGTAGGTAAATACTGCATGCCTGAAGAGGGTGTGGCATTGACCCCCAAGAATGAACTACTCACTACCCAGGAGATTATCAAAATTGCCTCCCTGTTTGTACGAGAGGGTGTCAGGAAGATACGTCTCACAGGAGGGGAACCATTGGTCAGGAAAGACATCATAGAATTAATAGGTGATTTTGTCAACTGTTTATTTCTTTTATGTCACCACTACCAGACCACTTAAGAATGAATCACTGTGTTTTGATTGAATTTAAAACTTGATTACCCTCCAACTACCAATGTTAGGTACCTCAGCACAGCAAATTATAGGGCAAAAGAGTCAACTATTATGTTGCTATTTTTAAACTTTATTGCTTGAATTACAAATTCACATTTTGCTGGAAATCACGTTTGTGACACCAAATAGAATAATTTCATGATATACATTTGTTTGTGTTTGTGTTGAGGTCAGAGATAATATTAACATTGTTGAGTTTAATTGTATTTAATTGATTGTGAGTCTTGAGATTTGAGGATTTAGCTTGTTATCAATCAGTTTTTTTTTACTTTGATTTATTATGTCAACATGAATTATATATCCTTTTAATTTTGTGCTTTATATATTTTATGTAACTCTGTTTATAGTACTACATTTCAGACATGTGTTTAAATAGTTAGGCCCATATAAATTAATTGTAAGATTAGCACTAAAGGATTGGTATCAATATGGGGAACTTTCTGAACACACGTTTCTCTTAAACCACTGTCATCAAAAATTCTGAAAATTTTACACATCGTCAATTAAATGGTCATCTTTTGAATGGTAACAATATAATTTGAAATATATATATATATATACTTTTCTCTATATTGTTTTAGAAAACCCATCAGACACTTCTTTTGTTCTTTGTATCATATGTTCGAAATGAAATGATACATCTATCTGAACCTCATTAGAACAAAACGACATAAACACAACGTGTTTAGGTTTCTCAATATTGTAATTGTACAAAGGAAAGTTTGGTTGATTTAAAAAAAAGTATCTTGTTAATGAAATAAAAGTTTTATCTTAATTTTTAACTATTCTGGGGGGTTTTGTTTTAAGTTTTTGCATACTTTTTGTAAAATCAACCAAAATTTCCTTTGTATAACTATAATATTGGGAAGTCTAAGAAAATGTTGTATATGCTATTTTGTTCCAACAAGAGTTTGGAAAGACATTTTATTTCATTCTCAAGAATTGGTAGAAAGTAACAAAAAAACAATTGCACTAAAAATCAAAATTTTTAACAAAAACAGTTATATAAAATATATATATAAATAATTTTCACATTAAATTGTTGTCAATCAGTCAACATTACATAAAGGACATTGTTAAATTCAGTTCACCATATCGATGAAGAAAGCAAGTCTTATTTCAAAAATTATTTCTGCGAAACAGAACAGTGCCCTTTAGGGGATTTATGTATCCTTAAGAGTCTACTACAGGCCTGTCAACTTGTAAACACCTAAAATGAGTGACTTACAAATGTTAAACACCTTCCTTCAAATTGTGAACACCTTGGTCCAAATTGGGGGTAGTCACAAAAAATTTGAAGCAAATGCGTGACATATACACAATTTGCATGAAGATTTCAAATAAACTGCGCTAGTTTTTTCAGGATTGTTTTTTATATTTCGGCATTTCTTTTTGCTTGACAATAATCAGATAAAATGCATATTTGCGTGACATAATCTATCACGCAAAAAAACTGGTTTGACTTCAGTTTCTTCAACAAATGCATGACAAATACGCAATTTGCGGGACAGTTGACTGATGCTATTGTAGACAGAGAGGATTGCTTTGTGCCTGTTATTTTGCAGTGTTGTGTTTAAAATGACCAAGTTAATACATTCTTCTCTGCCTTGATTCAAACGTGGCTCAATTATATTTTGGCAAAGTATGGTATGACTTGTTGAGATGAATAGTTTATACATATTTAATATTTATAACATCATAAATTGGTTACTTTGCTTCGTCATTATAATTAAATGTAATTTATAGATGATGGTTTTAGTGATAAACAATAATTAATGTGTCACATTCCAACATATTTTTTGTTTCCAAAATTTAAGTTTGGAAAATGAATAAAATGTATGTGAGTTGAATCAAATGGAAGACTTAATGCATGTACAGTACTTAATGTCACAATCAAAGTGATAGCTCAGATAGTCATAATATCAGAATATTTTGGGAATACATGTTAACTCAGATACCTTAAAATATGGTCTCTGAAATTCTAATCCTTGATTACCTTGGCATGCTTTTGATTTACTGTATATTGTTCTGTAACTTGCATAATCAATGAATCATTAAGGTTGAAAAAAGATTTTTTGATCATATCAAAACTTGATATGCATGAACTGTCTTAATTTATTATGTCACCACCATAAGTGGTGAATGTTCACCAACTTTTTCGGCAGTTGGGGTTTGGCATTCGGTAGTTGGTGCTCAGTGGCTGGAGTTTGGTGGTCGGCATCTGTAACAAATGGCAGGTGATGACATTTTGCATATAAATGCCTTGTTTAGGATTTGAAATACAGATAACCTGTACTTCCCCATTTCACAAAATAATTTTATGAAACTTAATTTCATCTACATGATCTTTTACAGGTGAACTTAATGCATTGAAATCACATGGCCTGGAAAGTATTGCCATGACAACGAATGGTATCACACTCTCAAAGAAGCTTCCACAACTAGTTAGTGCTGGTCTAAACCAGTTGAACATTAGCTTAGATACACTAGTGCCAGCAAAATTTGAGTTTGTCACCCGGAGGAAAGGCTGGGATAGAGTCCTCAAGAGCATTGATGATGCTATAGAGCATGGCTTTGATCCAGTGAAGGTAAATATTTATTTCAATTTGGTATTCATTTAAGGGATTGGATGAAATACCAATGTTCATCCTCAGGCTCTCAGAAATATAACTTTATTTGGGAAGGATGAAAATGTATTTACTGGAAATAGAATAGGAATATTTTTTGATTTATCTACCTTTCTGAAGTGTGCCATCTTTTGTTTTTTAAATAGGTGATTTTCAAATAATGATTTAAATCACTTTTGTATTCTACATCAACATATGATTTAAATTTTAAAATCTCTGATATTCAGTTTGAGAGGATCTGGCACATGCCTTTGTAAACTTGGAGTTTCTCCTGGAAGCGACAATCAGGTTCTAAAATTCAATATTTTTCTGAATATTCATTTTACACGTCATGCCTGCACTTAAACTTTCCACATCAACAATGTATACTGACAGCAAGTATATAATTATTAATGAACACAGAATTATTGACACTACAAGCCTTCCATAACCATGACAACACACCCTGGGATAAAACTTTTTGTTTGTGTTCTTTTCAGGTCAACTGTGTTGTAATGAGGGGGTTGAATGAGGAGGAAATATGTGACTTTGTAGCTCTCACAGAAAACAAGGTATGACATGTAATTATTGACCTGTCCAGAAGTCAACTGTCAAAATTGAGACATCTGCTGAAAGTGTTTTTAGTTTTAGTTTTGACTATGAACTTTTTTCTTCATCTGAAGAAAATGTGCGCAATGGATTATAATATACTTTCTACAGTCAAACCTGTATACTGAAACACATCTGTAAGGGAAACACATTCATGTTACCTTTCTACTTAATATAAAATGAACCTCTGTATATGTAACATTCTTTTGAGGTATCAAATATGTTTCACTTATGAAGGTTTTAATTACATTGAATTTTTAATAATTCATGCTTTTTAATGATATTATATAATATTTTAGATTAGATTTTTTCAATTATCAAATAACTTTGATTTCTTAATTCTCTCATGTCACTCTTACATTTATGTCTTTCATTTATACAGAACATAGATGTGCGGTTCATAGAGTACATGCCATTTGATGGCAACAAGTGGAATGAAAACAAAATGGTGTCTTATCAAGAAATGCTCAATATTATCCGACAGCGATGGCCAAATTTCGATAAACTTTCTGATGCCAAAAGTGACACTTCAAAGGTAATGGTAAAACATTGTGCTTTGAGTATAATTTGAAGAACAAAGAAATATACATTGTTAGAATGATTATATTTGTAAAGAGAACAGGAAATTGATGTATGTATTTAATATTTTCTCTCAAGTTTACATTTTTTTGTTTGTATCTTTATTTCCTCCAATTCTGAAGAGTACTATTTCAGACTTATTAAAGAAAATAAATTTGTAAAAAGTTATATACATATAAGGAACATAATCAATATTAACGTCTCATCCAGAGCACCCCCCCCCCTTTATACGGCCGGACGCCAGGCTACCGTGTTGACCCGTAATCGCAACAGGCCCAATGCTCTGGAGTTATTTTGACTGTTTGTTTGAGTTGTTAATGATATGATATATTGATCTTATATTTAGTGCGTCTCATTTTGCAGGCATATAGGGTGTCTGGGTTCAAAGGTCAAGTAGGTTTTATCACGTCGATGAGTGAACACTTCTGTGGGGGATGCAACAGACTCCGTATCACTGCAGATGGGAACTTGAAGGTAAGGTCATATGGATTGTCTTTTCAGTAAAGGTCTTTGTTAAAAAAGGCTTTATTCTGAAATAGAGACTTTGCTATATAGCTTTGAAATTCTGTTGAAGTCTCATTTTAATGAAATTTTAGGAGATTTGCATGTTTAATTATTTTGGACTTAAGAATTCTTATATCAGATGTTATATTTTGATTCTGAGCAGAATGTTTCTTTCTTGTATTCAATTTCCTAGGATTTGTAAGTGAAATTTTCAAAAAAAAAATTATTATTTGATAAATTTGAGAAACAATGACCAGTTACTGCATTTAAGGTATGTCTGTTCGGCAACTCTGAAGTGTCCCTAAGAGACGCATTGAGAGAGAATACTAGTGATGATCAACTACTAGATATTATTGGAGCAGCTGTAGGCCGCAAGAAGAAACAACATGCTGGTATGAGAATGTTTCTTTCTGAGACTATCCTAATACCTAATACCATTGATATTTTAAAGTTGACTGTGTCTTTATGAGACAAACTTCATAATGGGAATGTGCAGCTGTGGTGCTGTTTTAGTACATACATGTATTTTATGATATCAGCTCTTCAGTATTGGCTCTGAAATGCATTATAACCTTATAAGTAATTTTCAGACATTTTATTTTTTCAATGTTTGCATCGTTTCAACTGTTTAAGAAATTGTGTTCCTTTATATTCATCACTCTCAAGATATTCGCTGATGTTTTTGTGCCTTTATGTTTTCTGAATGGATATCACCATGAAATATGCATTGTGTGTATTTTCAGGAATGGTGACTCTGTCAAAGATGAAGAATCGTCCTATGATTTTGATTGGTGGGTGAGGCTAAACTATTTATCATGTATGTACAACAGTATCAGAATGCCTCAATTGTATGCAATGAATGCAAATGTATACAATAATTGCAATTGTATACAATAAATGCAATTGTTGCAATAAATGCAATTGTATACAATAAGTGTAATGTATACAATAAGTGCAATTTGTACAATAAATGCAGTTGTATGCAATTGTGGCAATACATGTAATTGTATACAATAAATACAACTGTTTCAATAAATGCAATTGTATACAATAAATGCAACTGTTGCAATAAATGTAATTGTATACAATAAGTGCAATGTATACAATAAATGCAGTTGTATGCAATAAATGCAATTGTTGCAATAAATGCAATTGTATACAATAAGTGCAATGTATACAATAAACGCAAGTGTATACAATAAATGCAATTGTTGCAATAAGTGCACTAAATGCAGTTGTATATAATGAATGCAATTGTATACAATAAGTGCAATGAATACAATATATGCAATTGTGTACAATAACTGCAATTGTTGCAAAAAATGAAACTGTTGCAATAAATGCAATTGTATACAATGAATGCAATTGTTGCAATAAATGCAATTTCATACAATAAATGCAATTGTTGCAATAAATGAATGACAAAAATGTGGTGAATGTAAGTTTATGGGTGGAATGTACAAAAATGTGCAGAGAAATATTTCTGTTAATGTATGAGCTTTTAAGAAAATCCCAAGTTAATGCCTAGAATGAAGAAAATCTTAACATTAAAAAATTGTATAAGGTCCATTATGAATTCATATAACATCTTAATTTAGCCTATTATTTAAAAGGTTAAAAATGATGAATTTATTTCTTTTTTCTTTAATATTTTTTACTATTTGATTATTTCCAGATGCATACACCAAGACATCAAGTGCCATCTATAACATTCCTCCGAGTTGGATGACATCAGAATTTAACCAGAATTCTACGAAACGCGGTGATTATGACATCATGAAACTTCAGAACTATAGTGACAAAAAATGTCAGTGTAGAAATGTAAATAAGAAAAGCATTGTTAAAATCTGTGATATAAGTGATTCAAAAATGATAATCAGCAATAATCAAAAGGAGCAGAACATTGATATAAACAACAGGCCTCCAATGAATATAGCCACTGCATCATTGTTGAATATTCAATGTGTTAAGTTGTTAGGCAACACTTTGAACAAAACCTATGCAGTTCATCAATATAGAACCTATAGCAAAAAGGTTGATGGTGACAAAACATGCAATAAAGGACAAGATGAGAAAAATGAATATTCTGACCGTCATGATTGGCTAGATGAGGATACAATGAAGTATTGGGAGACACCTAGTGGTAATATAGAGCAAACTGGCTCAGTGGCACCACCTGGTGGATTAATCCCTGGTATAAGGAGTAATTTTGGTGGGTTGGTTAACCAACTTGGCCAGTCAGTAGGAAATATTGGTGTTAACAAATATGATGAAGAGGAAGAGAATAAGTTAACACATACAGATGAACAAGGGAAGGCCAATATGGTGAATGTTGGGAACAAAGACGATACACATCGTGTTGCTATAGCAAAAGGAACAATCGTCCTTGGGGAAAAGGCATATCACCTTGTCCGAGAAAATAAAATGAAGAAAGGTGATGTCTTAACTGTTGCTCAAATAGCTGGAATAATGGCTGCTAAGAAAACCTCTGATTTGGTCCCTCTTTGCCATGCTATACCAATCACAAAATCAGACATATGGTTTGAGTTCAATGAGGAAAATCATGAGATTTTGATAACAGGTGAAGTTCACACTGTTGGGAAAACCGGAGTTGAAATGGAGGCTCTAGCCTCAGTTTCAGTTGCGGCTCTTACCATTTATGATATGTGTAAGGCTGTCACAAGGGATATGATAATACAAGATGTGAAACTAATGAAAAAGACAGGTGGAGCAAGAGGTGATTACAAAAGAAATGATTGTTAATATATTTTGCTCAATATAATACTGAATATAAATTAATGTATTTTTGACAGATTTATGATGTTATAACTTGCAGGGAGCAATGGTTGTGAAGAAAATTGTAAAGAATTTGAAAATTAGTAATAAGGTAGTCCTATGTCTACCCTGAAACTGCATTTTGGCTGTCAGCTACCGGATTAACCTGCTATTCTATGACCAACTCATTTGAATATAAATGGAATAGAAGCAGGTACTATCCATATTTGAATGAGTTGCCCATAAAATAGAAGGTTAATCCGGTAGCTGATAGCTGTTATTTGCATTCGCGAATACAAGCTGAGACATCATAACCACTACTGTAGATGGCGTAATTTTCTGAATTCTTCTATTATGGTTATTTACGCTATAGCAAATGTGACGTTAGAGACTAGACCAAATTATGAATTTGAGGTAACATATTTTATATCTTTTATGTTGAAATACCTCCAATTTTTAATGCACCTATTTTTGCATTCATAAAAATAAGTATAAAAAAAATCATGTAAATGTACATATCAGTAATATATGGTATGTATGGATAGAATAAACATTTGAATGTTGGTTTCTTATTATGAAAATATGTACATGAAATAAATGAGGGTTGCGAAATGAATTCTCTGATAAGCAATACAATTGAATTATACAGTATGTATGTACATGTAATTTGATTTGCTACATCCTAATATTTCATATGTTAGGGATATTTAATGCTTTGTGTTATTTAGGACATGGACAAATGAGTAGGGAGCTCCATTGTAGAGTTTTAACAAGCCCTGATAGTGACTTACATGATTCATGATTTTTAGCATCTTTATTTATTCAGATGCAATTTGGGGAAAATAACTTATTTTTCTTGCAATCAGGTGTTAATTTTTTTACAAAACCAAACTTTATTTAACATATTTACATTACATGTGCACACTGTTTAAATAACATACAAATATATCTAGTTATATTTATATGCATCCCTTTTTAAAATCATGTACTTGTAATAGCTTTTTTTAACAACAAGTAATTCATCTTTTTAACAATTACATTGCCAATTTTCTGATCAGTCATTTGTTATATTTAGACCATTACAAATTGATTTTAACAGTCACAATTGATAAAGAAGAGGTTGATGTTATCTTTTACGAGTAAGCTACAAAAGCCACAAGTAGATATCATGTGGGTGAATGTCATTTAAAATTGTCCATTGAATTACCAAAAGGCTTGTAAATTTTGTACATTTAAAAAATTGAGACCAGACTTTCTCATATGAAATATCACCATTAAATTTCAAATCACATTTTCTCTCTAAAACAAAATATTTGTATTAAATTTTATCGTATGATCTGTAAAATGAAGCCCTCTGATTGGTCAGTTCTTGTGCTGTACCAATCTGTATTGCTACTGAGATTGTCCCCGTTGATCATCTCCGTCGCAATACAGAAAATATTGGTACGGAGGGGACAATCTCAGTAGCAATACAGAGGATCACACGATAAAAACGTTATTGAATGATTTGAAGTGCAATACAGTTTATATTCTGTCTCGATATTCTGTATTGGCACTCGACTTCGTCTCGTTCCAATACGGAATTTCTCGAGCAGAATATATCCTGTATTGCACTTCAAATCATTCAATAACTTATAGTATTGTTCATGTGTTACAATTTGAATATAATACAAAGGTGCACATTATGCTACTGCTATACAGTAATTATATTCTAACTTAATAAGAATATCATTATTATCATATATTATATATTGAATGGTATTATGCAAAGCTGCAATAATCAGCTTATGTTAATTCTTTTAGCCTTTAATTATGTAATAATGATGTGCAATAAAGTCTTTCTATATTTTATACACATTATTGTAGTTCTACTGCTATTTATTACTTGTATATTGCAATTCTCTACAAAAATATTTTTTTACAAAACGAACACTCAAAATACAATGTAATATATTTGATCAGCTAGCTATCTTATTTAGATGAACAAAATATATAACCTTGGAAAACTGTACTTAAGATAGTAAGACAAGCAGTATTAAAATATCGACCAGTGCCTTTTTTAACAAAAACCCTTCATGATAAACCATGACATCTCATTTCTCCCCAGCCTTAATGAAACGGAAAGATGTTATAAACCCTAAATTATGACATGAAGACAGTTACATGCCATCTTACATGTCTAAGCATTAAATATCATTAATATTTTAATAGTCTAGTTGAACCTTGCTGGAAGTGTGATCTCTTATATGACTCTATGGATAATTCTAGCCTTTGGCATCAATACTAAAATAGTTATAATGTGAAGTTTTAATTCCTCACTTTTGGGAGTGGCACCCTGTGTAAATAGATTTAACATATGAAACAATGTGATACAATCTATTGGATAGATAGTCCTATATTTACAAAATGTATTCTAGTTAAATAATTACAGTATATACTATTTTGATTTGTATTATTTGTATTATTAATTTTGCCTGTATTTGGTGTATTGCGGGCAAGCATCTTCGATGGTTTGTATCCTTGAAGTTGCCACCATTTGGTATTAAATCTATTGATGGTGTCAAATGTCAGTGTTATACTTGTGAGGATACTTTACAATTGAGTTCAATCGCCTTACACTTGGGCTTACACTTGGGGAACATTTTCCGGCTCTGTCCGTTTTGTCCCCGTTTGTCCCCCCGGACTGTAGGGAGTTTAAGCTTGCATATAAAATCTAAACGCCAATCTATACGTATGACCAATTGCCCAAACAAATGCATGGCTTAAGTATTTTCCGCTCACGTTCAAGTTGTGAAAAACATTGCAAGCTTAAACTCCCTATTATCTGACATTGTCCCATTTTGTCCAATGATGTCTGGAGTGTAGTCATTTTGTCAGATAATGGTCACATGATCATCATTGGATAACATTGTCTTCATGTGTCCGGTAATGTCCGTTGAAAAGAATTACGTAAGCTTAACATGTCCATTCTTTTTCATGGGACATATTAAAGGGACAAAAACTGACAATGTCCCGCGGACAACATGGGACAAAAAGGGGCAACGTCCATGTCCGATGGAAATGTCCGAACTTGTCCGTTCATGTCCGCTGAAAATAGTTTACTCTATGTCTAACTCGGGACCTTGATGTCCAAGTTTATCCGCCAAGTGTACGGCTAGCTTTAGTGTTAACATCACATTAGCCTATGGTAATTGGGGGGAGCGAAGGCCTGATCTTGAGAGGCGGCAAACTTCCTCTTCTGGTAAACTTTGACAGTTTTTCACGGTTAGCATCAAATGATGTCTTTGTTGACATCACGTTGATGTAGGAATTATTGTGAGTGACTGACATTTCTATTTCATTCTTGGTTCTGTCATGCATCTCACTAATATTGTGTTTTAGATTTTCAGCAGTGTTCTTTACATAATCTGTTTCTTCATCTTGACGTTGGACAATATTCGGATATGATGCACGACGATGAGAGCCATGATATCCAAGCCTACTGTCAGTCTTACTAACAGGCAACGGAACTGAGCCTTGAGACGTTTCACCATAGAGCATTTTCCTCGCTTTCATTGTTAATTTGTATCCAAGAGGAAGAGGACGTAATTGATGTTTCACTTTGCCTTTTGAAGCGGGGAACGTAATGTGATCTTGATAGTATACGTCAGTTTTTAATGTTTTATTTAGACTGTTCTCAATGATTGTTTCTTGTTCTAAAAATTCATCCTCGCTAACAGGCGAGTTACTTCCTCCACTTCCTACATGTATATCCCGAGATGTGACGAATTCATTAGAAATCTGAAATTGTTCAAAGCAGTTCGTCAAATCTTCTCGCCCGGGAGATGCAAATCCAGAGTCCGCACTGTCACGTTTCATCAAGGGGTCTCTTTTGAAAGCCCATGGTTTCATATTGGTTCCATGTAAGTCAAGATTGCTGTCACTTGAATATGGCCACTGTTCAATGTCTTCAAGCGTTAGATCGCTATCCATGTGCGTGTCAGCCTTTCTTCTGTCATCATCGTTGAAATTACGAAAGATGCGGATTTCTGATTCAAATCGTGCAGCGTTCGACTCGGAATTCTCCACTCCACTCATTTTTATTGGTGTATACTCCAGTCTTAGATCTAGGAGAAGTTATCTTTTTGACAATTCTTTTTTATTTTGCCAGCCGTTGATTTGGAATATCCTGACATATGGACCTCTCTTGGTAATATGTCTTAATTGAATATCATGTGGTTAGTGGGCTTTCTCGACACGTAAACGATTAGTAACTGCTATACTTGAGTAGCCTACTTACTACAAAGGCTAGAAATTGAGTGACGTAAATTAGTTAATTAATGATAATTAAATGCCACATTGTTTGATGATTGCAGTCAATTTCATGGAACTTTTGTTGTTCATTGTTGATGTAATGGGGGTATCAGTATTATTTCTATTGTGCTCAATGGGGATAAACCCCGGGGGATAAACTTACTTAGTTTACGTCCCGTTTACGTAAGCCTGCCTTGCGCTCCAATGTCAGAAATATCAAAAATTATGAAGAATAATTCTTGATCAAATTGGTAATGTAGTAGGTACCTAAATAAAATGTTAGGTTACCATGGCTCAATGCAACACATTTAATGTGATACACAAGTCATCTTGGATTTCGAAGGTATGATGTGTTGAAAATCAATTGCAAACTGGGAAACGAGTATGACACAAGTGGCATACTGTATAGCATCCTGAGGCCCAGAAACCATCAGTAATTTTTGGACCATTAAACTGTTTGACATTAATGCTGTAACTTAATTTAAAAACCATCTGGACTCATTGACATTGTATCCACTCCCAATCCCTGTGAAATTTCCTCAACGTACGATAGTGTGTAGTAATAGAAATCACATTTTCAAACATAAAATTCAAAATTGATAAAAAATTGAAAACAACAGTTTCAGATGTAATTTAGTGTTTTTCAAATATCAACTTAACTTTTACATATATGCATCTTGTCTTTTTTCGAAATCTTTAAAGAATTCCACAAAGCAGTATCAAAGATCGTTGATGCCTCTTTTGCCTCTGTTTTGAAGAGGGAACACATCTTTCTGTTTCATTGCTGAAAGGAATAAGCAAGTTGCTATATAGCTGAATAAATAGGACTGTAAATAGATGTCAACACGCACTTGTTTTTATTTATTTAGCTTTGTCATAGGCTCCAATGGTAAAAACCTTCAATAGTGAGATGTCAGAGAGAAGACAGTGATCACTCACAATGGAAAATAAGCTTCATTATATAGTTCATTGATAATCAGTGTTTTAAGTTGTTACGATTTTGGGATAACATGTTTCTCTCTCAGGCAATGAGTTGTGTTTCTCTACACTACACTTCAAAAATCAAAATTACAATTAGTGTTTAAAGTGTAGAGTTTTCTTACACAGGAGTTAATTAATTTGTGTGTGAAAAGTTAGTGATAAGACCGCCATTTTGTTTTATTCCGTCAGTCAGAATGAGCTAAAGAATTTCTAGTTGAAAACCAATGGTATGACTGGACGAACATAAAGAACTTGTGAAGATGCCGCTGATTTCCCTCATTCAACATGTTTCTTGTATACGTATCGTATGTTCATCATCACATATGGTCGTATCCCGTATCCTCGCCATGCTTAAACTCAGTCGGTGATTCCATCTTGAAGAAAGATCCTATATACAAATACACCCACTATTACCATGAACGCACAAAATGTTAACTTCACTTTAAATAACCTGGCCTTATACAATTTATTTTTTTGTGTTTGGATACGTCTATCTATCATATCCTTACAGTCGTCGTACATAAACTGTAGCATTTTCATACGCTCTCTTAAAGATGACGTGATGTTTAGAAGCTCTGAGCTGTCAACTATTTTTGTTCTTATCGCGTTGTACGCTTCTATGTCGCGCCCATAGTTCGTTACTTCACTAATTCTGCTGCGTCGTCGTTTAATGCTGTCCTTACGTCGGATGCCAGTTGTCTGGAAAATAAAACAGTATAATGCATCAAGATAATGTATTTTTGGTAAAGGCATTATCATGCAGTTTTAATTCTAAAAAATAAATTGATGATATTGTTAAAACATTGAATTCATAGTAAGTTCATATAATTGGGGTTTGACTGTTCAGGATAGGTATATTCATACGTTTCCAAATGAAAACATTTATACATCTAAAACGATGAATGGATAGATACGAGTTGAGAATCTTAATTTCGAAAATGTCACAATAATCTTTTTTGATCTCATCATTTTATTATTCCATGTCATCCCAATTTCTAAAACGTTTTATTTTAGGACAGTACTCCAATTTTCTAGGTTATCTGGTAAGAAAAATGAAAAAGGGACGTCCCCTTTTTCGAATACAATGAATTTGGACATTTCTGCATCATAAATTTTCAATAACTTCTATATTTGACAAGGTATCCCAATTATTTATCTTTTTGTAAATGAAATTACGATTGTACCCTGTAAAAGAACATTAGCATGATTTTCTGAAGATTACTTCTTTATTGAGTGGTGTTTCGTCCAAAAATAAATAATAAATGTCATTTTTCACGGTGAACCGCGATCAGGTTCCAATAATTAACAACCACCAAGTTGTAATTTAGCCATTTACCAGGTATACGGCACAATACCCAATATTACAACTTCAACTCATTCTCATCCATCATCGTGTTAACTTGCAGGTTGAAAACCTAACAATCGTAAACACTGACAGTGATATGCAAACTGAAGCCCTTGGGGTCTTAGTATTCTACACAGCTACACGAACGGTAATCTTTATCACTACATACAGTCCTTTCAATTATGAATGTTGTCGGGCCACGATCAGAGGTCAATATTCGCGCATTCCGTAATTTTGTTAGACTTCCAAATAATTACTAAAATTAATAGGCCTAATTCTACATGCTAGACCTAAATATAACCAATTCCCTGTGAGCGTCTTCATGGTTTTCCATCCCACATGCGTACATGTACCATATATATAGGTACATCTACTGTATCTATTGTTGAAATGGTCAGTACAATGATACCTTGCATTGATTTACAGTAAAACTTATTATAGTGAACACCTATTATATGGAGCCACAAAAAGTGTTCACTGCAGGTAGGCATTAATTACAGTGGGTATTTATATTCAGGAGTCGATGTGAAATGTGTCTTGAAGTGGTCTTTACTAAACACAGGTGTTCACTATAGAGAGGTGTTCAGTAAGACAGGTTTTACTGTACTTGTTAATAAAATTCATCATCTTTATGAGTAGAAACCGACTAAAATTGATTCCAACAACACTAGGCAGGTCACATCAGATTTGTTTTTATCGAGTGATTCGAACACTTTTTATCGTAATTAGAATCCTAGAGTTAGACGTAAACTAATAACTTTGGCATGAAATTGCCAAGTGGCCATGTCTAAAAATAACAGTGCCAGTCTGCCAGAGTGTATATTTCATATCAAAACAAGCCAACGGTTTATTCCGACAAACTTGTGAAATAACACTTATTAAAGCAACACAACCAACCTTTCAATTCTACTTATAAATTAGTTCATCAGATATGAACCTGCTCCATCGGCATGTTTCAAGGTGATCTTGCTGCTGCGCTACATTGGCTCTTTGATTTTCTCATACCTGAACGCCAGATCAATTATTGTACATTGGCATAAATCTTCCATCCATTTACCACATATCTACCCCCTCCCCCCTTCCTTCAGGATTTCATTCTGTGTTTTCATTAACTAACGCAGGTCCATGATTGCAGAGTATGACGTGCCTGTATACCGTACTAATGATAGTAAAGAATTTTGCGTTCTTAATTGTAATTATGGGTTGAAATTTCAAAATTTTTAATTCAGTGGGTGCATTTCATTGCTTATTCTTGGATGCAAATTCGTGACGTCATCAATCTCCAACTATGTTTGAAATATTGAATATCTGTATGAGTTTGTACGATTATTAAAAATTATCAAATATCAATTGAAGTAATCTAAGTTTGAAGAAGGTGCTCCACGCGTTATCTTTATGACTTGACCTAAACACTCAAACATGCCAAAATTCACCATTCTTGAGTGCATCATTATTTTCCATCTATTGCCACAAAAGAACTCATGCCTCGGGATAGAATAACGAGAGAGCATTGATGAAAGAATATTTGATTGTCTATCAACGATGAATATATTTGAATGCCCACCGAATCTTTTCGTAAAATGGATGTTGGTCTCTCCGTCGATCCCTCCTTGTGTTCCACTCCAGTTGACATCCTCCTGGTGCCAGAGTCTAGTGAAATTCGCCTCTCTACCAATGCCCTTTCAGCAGCGTCGCTTCGCTTCCTCACCAACGAGTGTCTCCTCTCCACAACAGGGAGAGAGTTTTTCCTTATGTTCAACGAGTCTCTTCTGAGAGAATTCCTTCGAGGTATACCACCCAATGTATCTACACTAAGTAATCCACCCTGGTCGGATTCCTCCTCGTTGTCTGGGATGCTATCCGCGAAGACATTATCCAGGTCATTGGCGGCCTCATCGTGTATTCTGTTTTGCCTAATTTCGTGGCTATTAATTGTAGTTACAGCGATTCGACGTATCATCGCTGTACACACAGTATGTTTCTATTGGGATCGTAGCCAAGGTAACACGGAATATTAGATTCCACTGGTTGCAGAACTTATCCTGATAGTTCTATATTAGTTACAGAGGCCAACACACTTGTTATTAACTTACCAAGAACCTGCTATTTATTTTCTGTTATCAGTACTTATGGGTTATAAATCTTCAAGTTGATTTCAAAACCATGGATTGAATGTATGCAAGTTGGCGATGAGAAATGTGAATATACAAAGCCCTGAAAATATTATGGGGTTATTAAGGAGAATTGCAGGTATTAAATATTCTGACTATTTTTATATTATATTGTAACTCACCAATATTCCGACCGCTACTATCATAGTAGTAATATTACTATTCTAGCAATATTAATTAAAGTAGTAATAGATATCGATATACTTTCAATTTACGATCGTTAAAAATATTCTCCAAGAAGTTAAATATCCCGAAGAAACTGATGGCGTTTAGAGAATGATCTAACTTCGACTACATATTACTAACTTTTAAAACAATGTAATAAAGATGGTGTGGTCGTCATTTCTCATTTATTTATAATATAAGTGATCATGTTATATAATAGATGGCGTGATCAACAATGTGGTACTAGAAAAACAGCAACACCCAGAGTAGCAAATCTCATTCCTGATACATTATATTCTTAATTTTACATATTTACGAAGGTAAACATACATGTTCAGGGGCATAGTCAGCAAGTGTCAAGGGGGTGCATTTTGGGGTTTGCATCACTGCGAGTGAAGGAAACCCAAAGGGGGGTACCCCCGGAAATTTTTCAAAATTGACAATTGTATATGGTGCATTCTAAGCATTTCAAACTATACAGAGTGTCTCAAAAAAATGTTACACTCACAAAAAGTTCAATATCTTTCATAATTTTGACTTTTCCCTAAAATATACTTTGGATACCAAAAGACAAATCTTTCTCGAATAATTTGACACCATCAAATTCAAAATCTGTCATTGATTGGCTCCACATGACAGCTTTTAGTGTCCCATGGTAAAATCTGACTTGCGCCAACTTCTAAGTGATTGGATTGACCAAATGACAAAAGAGGAACAGTTTCTTTAATATTTAACTTTCTTCTGAGTAGAAGCTTGACCTTAAACTGAGTCATTATGTAATTTTCCTATTTGTCTTACATATGATCATTGGGTCTATCCACATAAACATGTGGTCCCCTCAACATGTTCTCCAAATTAAACTTGAGGTACCCTTGCCCATGCACGCATAAATTGTAATATCACTCTGATTCTATCAATTATTTTTGCAAAAGTTCATTTAGGTCAGTTTGTAATGCTGTAAACTGCTTTCAGAGGCCCTTAAAAACTCAAGGGTGTAAAGTGGGATGACCCTGGGGGCCAATCCATTGGGTAATTCAATGCTATCTTCTAATTTCCAAAGAGTTCTACCAAACGATCTGCAACAGGCCTTTGCACCATCCTGTTGCCATCATAACAAAATTGAACACTCTGACAATGAAATCTTGTATTTCTGTCCAGGAAAGAATCAACTGGATCATTGATCATATCAAGATATCACTGTCCACAGCATTCACACCAAAAAAGAAAAAAAAATTGATCACCACAGGTCCAGCCACTGAGAAGTTGGCGCAAATCAGATTTCACATGCGTCTATAAAATCTGTCCCGTGCAGCCAATCTTGGACGGATTTTGAATCTGATGGTGTGAATTTATTCGAGAAAGACTGGTCTTATGGTATCTAGGTATATTTTAGGGGAAAAGTCAAAATCATGAAAGATATTGAACTTTTTGTAAGTGTAACATTTTTTTTGAGACACACTGTAATTTGTTAATGTTTTGTAATGAATCCAAATAAAAACTGAAACTTGAAAATGCTGATCTAAAGAAAATAGCAACTCCTTTGAGGGGCAATTCCTACCTAATGAAACTATCATTGTGAACATTATATGAAAAGTGGCAAGTTTTTTCTTGAGCAGAGGCAGCAACAAAAGCATTGATATAAAATTTTAACCAAATCTGTCAACTGATATTTGAGTTAGATAAATAGACTGAATACGACCGGACTGTCGAACAGACAACTCCTTAATATAAATACAATTTTAAACTGTAAAGAGTTCCCTGATTTTTTTGTTTTTCTCCTCCCGCCCTCCTCAGATTAACCCCTCAACAAACCATGAAACATATACCAGTAATTAACTTTGAATGGCCATAGACTAACTTACTTAAAATGTATTTTGCTGAAACATTATTTTTTCAACAATGATACAAAGTTCCCTGACATTTCCCTGACACATCTACTGTTTCAAAATTCCCTGACATTTTTGGCCCTTTTTGACCCAATTTTGAAATTCCCTGACATTTCCAGCACCTGGAAATATAAATCAATTTCCCTGACATTTCCAGGTGTGTACGAACCCTGTTTGAACTAATCCACGGGTTGTATCCAAAGCCCCGTTATAATTGAGAGGTCGCGAGCAAGTTCCCGCTGAAATCACGAGCAAAGTCCTTTTTATTTAATTCATCTGGAAATATGGACCAAAAAGGTAAGAATACGCATTACTGTTCTTTGATACTTTAGGTATACTTTCAGAACAGGTATATCTTCACAAACAATGACATGAAAGATAACTATTTTTACTGGCATAGAAGAAACGGGCGTCAATATGCACGTTTGCATAATTTACTGTTAACATATTACTTTTATGGTTAAAATAGAGACACGAACTACGATATACATACCTCATTATGAATATTGGACCAACATTGTATGTATTGATAAGTTTGTTTTCAAAAACATCCACTGTGGGGGGTGAAATACATCATTAAAGGTGTGCCAGTGGCCCCGCTGAAATTATGAGGAAGCCCCGCTGAAAACATGAGGAGGTCCCGCTGAAAACAGGAGCAGATATCACGAGTACCCGCTTCGATCACGAGGGAAGCTCATTACTATTACATAAAATATTAAGGTTCTTCAAATAAACGTACTCGAAAGACCAAGTTAAGTACTTCTAATAATTACTGTATATATACTGTTTCATTCTAAGGCCAGGTTTCTAATGTTTCCATTCCAACTTCAAGCCACCAGAGATTTCGTCAAACATTTTATAGAGTTGCATCCATATCAAAATGTATAGGAGAAAGGTGGATATCATTTCAAGAATGAACTTAATTGAAGCCTGAGGTTCAGGGTAATGAGTCTTGTATTAAACAAAGACACCCCAAGTTGCAAGAAGATGAAATTTAGAGAGAAAGGAGAACCACAAAGTCTCCATGAAAATTCAGGACCTACTTTTATAATTTAACAATAACATTTAACAATAACATTCAAGTTTTTGTTTTTAAATATATATTTATTAAAATAATGATGATTTGTATTCCATACCTGATAATTTTCAGGGACATATCAACCAGGAATATATTCCATATCCGGGCAAATATTTTTAATATGTCCCGCTCAAACGTGGATCCGGGACATATAAATCGTATGTCCTGCATAAGCCATTTTCCTGGACATATTGTTACGCGGTAAACACGATACAAATATATGTCATATTCCACAATGAATATGGCATATTCACTTGTGGAGTATGACAGATTCACCTGCGGTATATGGCATACTCACCTGCGGTGTAAGGCATATTCTGCAAGTGAGTATGACATATTCTGCGAGCATGGGGTATTTACTGAAATCAATGCATCACATATTCAATACGGAATATGCCATACTCACCTGCAGAATACGCCATATACCACAGCTGAATATGGCATATACACCCGTATCACAAATACCACGCAACCATGAATATATGCCATATTCCGCGTAACACATACGATGTTACGCGGAGTATGGCATACATTTATGGTTGCGTGGTAGTTGTGATACGGGTATACAGTATATGCCATACTCACCTGCAGTTTATGGCATATTCCGCAGGTGAGTATGCGATATTCCGCCGTGAATATGCGATACACTGATTTCAGTGAATACCTGATAGTCACCTGCAGAATATGTCATACTCACTTGCCGAATATGTCATATACCGCAGGTGAAAATGACACAATGATTACCCGTTTGTTCAATCAATGCAATTGACAATTGCGTACTTCCGTATCGTGTTCTCATTGCTTAGTGGGTATGCAATATACTGCAGCTAAATCTGTCATACACATAACATAAGTGAATATGCCATATTTATTGCAGAATATGACACATATTTGCATCATGTTTTCCGCGTAACACGTGCGTTTAACATAACCTACGATTAATTGTTAATGATGAAATTATTTGATTATTATTATTTCGGATTCATAATTGGATGATGTACTCCTTTGTTACTTACATCTAGCAGTTGATCCATAAATTGCCTTTTCAAACGTGTGCGCCATTGGTGCGGAATCCTCTAAGGTAGTAATATACTGAACTACAGTATAATGTAACTTCAGTGAAATATAAATATATATCGCATACAAAGAAGAACGAGTTGTTTGAAACTTGTCAAAAGTCGTGGAATGGATTTAAATCTTCTCTTGGTAAATTTCTCGATGGAGTCAGGTCGAAATACATTAAGTGAAATGGTTTTATTGGAATCATGCTCGTAGCCAGCATTTGGTAAGGGGGGGGGGTTGCTCGAACCGATAATAACAATGACAATGATATATGATATATATGTGCTCTGTAGAGTATCAATAATGAATATATTTATGACGTTGGCTACAGTCGTGGCAGATTTGCAAAGTCAAATCGGTCTTCACTCCATTTTAGAGAGCCACTTGCTCCTGATTTCAGCGGGACCTCCTCATGTTTTCAGCGGGGCCTCCTCATGTTTTCAGCGGGATCTTTAGTTTATTGCTCATTGTAGAAGCGGGGCCTCAAGGGATATGCTAAATTTGAAATATATAATTTTCTGTGAAACTTTAGGAAGTGAAACTCACAATACCTTCATTTCATATTACTATGACCATTTCAACTGAAGGGCAATGACCTTCTTCAGCTATAAAATATAGA